ATTAAAGTCATCGCGTCGTTCGCTAAACGAGATGAACCAATGCGTAACGAGCTGAAATTGAACAAGTGACGAACAAAGATTTACAGCAAGTAAATTGTATAATTAGAATCAATTAAAAGAAGAAGGAAAATCGATGTTTATTAATGAGACACACTGAAGAATTTAGATATACAATTCTATCTATTAAAATGCCTGATTTTTAAATCCCAAAAAAGGATTTCAAATTTTCAAAAACTTTGTTATAATGAAGACTTTTTTCAGTATGAATGACAAATTAATTTCTTAATGCTTTTAGAAAATGAGCGCTTCATCATCAAAACAATCAACGGACTCAACTTCTACTTCCTCGTCAACAATCAGACAGAGATCAAACACGAATATTACTTCTAATGAAGAAATAATTGGTAAGCCACTTATTCTTTCATCTTTTTATTACTATCGACAGAAATATTTATGTTCCTACGTTAACTAACTTATATGATTTACTTTTTTAATAAGAGAAGTAGCTCCGATGAATTTGCATAATGCATACGTATGTTTTAGACTATATATTAAATAAATCAAACCATATCATTCATTTTGAATTTAATTTCCTTTACTGTTTTCGTGATAACTCGACTCTAGATCTAGATAAACACCAAGCGACGTCAATGTAAAACTTAGTGAGTGAAGGTTGAAATTTACGATAAAAATTGTCGGAATTAATGAAAATTTCTTACCTAATTTAGCTATTGAGACGTACAGATAGGCTCTAAATTATATCTGATGATGACGCTTGTTTTTACATTTTCGTTATTTGTTTTCTTTTTAGAATCATGCGTGTCACATGTTCACAAAATTGAAGCATCTGAAGTTTTTAAAGAAAAGCTTGAACAACACATACGTAATTTTAAATTGGATGAATCAGACAATGATGATTCAGCAAAATCTGGTGTTACTCATTGTTCAATTGAATCTCTCGAAGCTGAACCAACACCAGATCAAGGTTGTCGATCGCATATTACTAAACATGTCTGTGGTAAGTAAACAATTGAATTCATTCTATTCCACATACAATGTCATACACAGCACTACTATCAGATTAAAACTATTTAAACTTCAAGGATTTTGTCTCATATTTTTAAATAATGGAGAATTATCTTTGTTATAAAAATATATATCAAGCTATTAGTTCTGCTCTTCAGCCTGACATAAATAGCTAGATTTAAGCTTGAGTGATTCTCAGGAAAATTTCAATCATGATTTTCTATGAGCATAGCAGCCGGTAATGACATTTTCAGAATGACTGCTCAAATGAGAATTGAGATATAGTCATTAAAGTAGCTTATTATAGCACTGATTGTCAATTAAAGTGATCTCGATATTATGAGATAAGCTTTTAATTGACTAAACTAGACACGCGGACCAGCATTTTACACTAGAAATAAAACAAATAAATTATAACAGCGAGAAGCAAAATTGTTCAGACATCGTATCCTTTCTTCAACTTGTTGGATTTCTTCGAGGATCTGTCAACTATTTTCAGTCGATGAAGGCGCGCCTACTTAATGGTAGTTTCACATCCAAAATGAATTTCTTCGTCTTACAACAATAGACTCGTACTAGCATTAGCTGAATGATTTCAATGGTTGAGTCGGTTGAACTCGAAAAGGTGATTTTCTTAGTGTCGAAGCTCTATCGACTCGCGCACGAAAGCTTTTTATGTACACAAGCACTGTTGATAGTTTCTTGAATGAATGAAACAAAATCCAGCAAAATGTATCGTCTGAAAATTCCTGTGGGTCATTTTTTGATGTTACATTTTTTTCTAGTGCTAAATGCTCGTGATTCTCTCTGGTTTACTGAATAAAAATCTCACGTTGTAATGTCGAGATCTTATTATTTGAGAATGCATACTATGAAACACGATCTAAAAGGAGTGCTGAAGTCTATATAGGTAGAAATTTGCACCCCCCCCCCTCCCCAGACCGTAATAGACGATCTAAAATCGTATATCAATAGTATCATGTTACAATATATAAACTATTTAATGTATTTGCGTAGTACGAAATAGAAGCGATGAATCTGGATTGTGCCTCAAGATAGATGAAATAAAGCAATATTCCGTAACTAGCAACAATGGATACATCGTGTTTCACATTTTTAATTCCGAAGGGATTGCATTAACAGTTTTTTTAATGAACTCCCTTGATAACTGGAATTTGAGCTATGATCTTGACTATGGAAATTCCACACGAGATAAATGAATGTTCCAATCTGACGATTCAATATTAGCTATCCGTCCTATTCATTAGATCATTCTTATATTCTATTTTGATTGTTGTATTCAATCAATGACTGAGTTTTCGTTTGAACACCAGTCATTAAACCAATTGATAAAAATAATAATTAGATTTTTATTTTGCCCATTTGTAGGTGATATTTTGTCTCGAATGTATCAGAACTCCATTATTGTTAGGCTTTTGAAGAACTTTTACTGTAAGGAACATGAAAAAATTGATTAAATTACCTTATATTTACTGTATGCTATAATCGACGTTAATGATTTGTTTTGTGCTAATCTCTGTTACCTTATGCAGCTGTTAGTGCGAAGGAAAATATATGATTTTTTCTCGGTGAAAAGCTTGCTTTTCAGTAGTTTTTATTGTATCTAACAAAGAAAAGGATTTTGCCTAAATAAAACAACGAGTGTCTCTCGAGTCCGTTATTTTCTCTGAGTAGATTTTTCTAATTTCAAATCATTTCTCAACTTTTAATGAAAACAATGTCGTATGTGACCAAAATTCCATACCATCAGATCATTTGCTCTTCAATTCTTTTGGGCCTGATCTAACAAGAAGATATACATTTCAGTGCATTTATCGAGAATAGTATGAAATCCATCATTGAATTAGAAAATGCTTTTTTAATCTACTTTTTCCAAATTAGGAGTTCGACCATCTGACAACACTGGATGTTAGTTAATCGCTGAAAAGCTTTAAACAGTAAATAATGGCTGTCTGAAATTGAAATCTAAAAGAAGAGTTGAATGTGATTACTACTTAGTATCGTTGTTTCTTTGTTTCTTTGTATAAATTTTAAAGTCGCTATGTTGTAGGTGTTGCAACTTTTGTAATTGGTGGTGTGCTACTATTCATGCTTACATACTGGCTAACGCGATGGTTCAGCAAATTATAATCATCAACATCAAATTCATCGTCAAATATGTTTTCTCCAAAGGTTCTATTAAAAAATGATTGGTCTTTATTATTGTTCTTATTACTCACTGAAATAAAATAAATCATGATTTAATTATAGATAAGATACGACTATCATAAAGAAAGAGAAGAATCATTTTGAATTAAAACTGAAAGGAGAAGAAAATACGATTAGTTAAGAGTAGTGAAAGAAAAGATCAAAGTTCGATAATAAATAACAAAAGTTAATAAGATAGTAGAGAAAATATAATCAATAGGTTATCAGAAAACCAAACATCTGTTCAAATATATATGGCAGTACTTAGTCATGACCATGATAAGAAATCTGACGAAATCGATCTTTGAAGAATTTTATTATCCGAGCTGTGAGTATTGAAAAGAAATAGACTGAGAACAAATGTTTTATGTGTTTATCGCTGCCGAAAGTTAAATCGAGTAAGAAAAATTTCTGCATAAGTTAAATTAAAATTCACACAAATTCAAAATTTTCCCAGGTGAAATTGAAATTTCAACTTTTCTGAATTAGTTCTTCTTGCTATATACAGTCGTGGACAAAAGTCCCGCTACTAGGCAAAAACTATCTAAACAACGGTTGTTTTCCTTGAAACTTCTACCATAACAAGAAATTGGCGAGCCCTGATCGCAGGCAAAAGCTTGAGCCCTATCCGCTTACCAGAGCTGAGAATATATAGTTTAATTAGAATTTGTAATTAAGATGTTAAATAAAGAGTATGACGAAAAAATAAACTCTAAATAATATATTTTTAATGATGAATACGATCAAAGGAAATATTCATATTCGAATTTTCTGATTTGATAGAAAATCTTTCTCATATTTTATACTTTATTAATAGAATACAACAAATAATAATAATATATTTGAAATATTTGACAAGTATTAGATTTTGTTATTTTAACAAATTAATAATTTCGTAATGAATTTTTCTTGCTCTTAACTTACAGTTATGTATAATAAAGTTTAAAATTCTTTCGATAAACTTTTTTTTCTACATTTATGTTGAACAATGAATATTAAAAAAAATACAAGTTAGAATTGTCAATTGTTAAAATATATATTAACTTCGATTAACTGTTAATGTTAATGTTAATATTATATTAATATAATATCATATGAAAATTGTCCGTTGGATAATAAATAACATATATCTAATTGTTCAATATTTTTAAATAAATTATTTTAACTTTTATATAATTTTCAACGTGTTTTCATATAATAACCACTAATAATAAAAAAAACGAAGAGATAAAATCTAATTTATTTTCGAATCTTGTTAACATTGTCTTTCATTTGTTTCGAAAAATTAAATTCTTTTATTAAATTATTTGTTGTTTATTCATATTCATAATTAAATTGATTTTTGATGAATTAATTGAAGACTAAAAATGATATTTATATTTCTGGAAATTTTATTTTTGATAATTAACCAACTCGAAAATTATCTTGATATAAATATAATTATACAATTTAAATCATGTTAATGAATAGATGATATAATTATATATATATTAGTTTTCTTATTAAATAATAAAGATAATCAAGATCATTCACTGATAATAAAAGTAAGAATTTGTTTAAATAGTCAATTATATGGTTCAATTTAATTTAAATATTATTTATAATTTATTTGTTTATTTTATTGATTTAAATAATGTCATTGATAAACATATTCAAAAATATTAATAATACCATTGTCAATAATGTAAAAAATGATTGTTTTTAAAATATATTTATAAAAAATTATCTCTCATATAAATATTATAAAATGTAACAAATCATAGATATATATACCTGTTGAAATGAACTATAGAAAATGCTAGAAAAACAAGAAAATAAAAATAATATATTTCTATTGTTTGTTACTTTGTCAAATCTATTTTCATTTGTTATAATAATCATCTTAAAAATTTTATTTTATGAAAAAAAATCGAAACGTTTTTGGAGTTCAAATATTGAAATGAATAGAAACTTCGTGATGTTTTAGAAAATTAATTTTATTTTTTCAAATAAATCTCATTC